AGCATTTGGGTTATAAACATAAACATCATGAAGCATTGTCAGAGTGAAGTGAGAGCCGTCTGCTCCCTAGGGCTAGGGAGCTGGGAGCCAAGGGGCAGTGGGGTAGTGGTCTCACCAGCCACAGCACAGTCCCACAGCACCTGGGTGAGATGATCAAGGCAGACCCAAAGACAGGGGTCAGGTTCAACAAAGGGTTCAAATTTTCAGGATGATTTATGGTGATGAGGCAGGTCTGAAGTTAATTTGGGAAGTCGATGTGCAGGTCAGGACCAGATTTGGGGCCAGTGACAGTAAAGAGAATCAGACAGAGCACCATGATCACCAGGCAGGTCTATAATGAAGAAACAGGTCCGAGCTCAAGCTAGGGTGTTGGTCTATGGGTTTGGGTCCTGATAATCAGGGTCCATGGCCAGGCACAGACATGTGGTGGAGACCAGTACTCCTACAATATAGCTCAGGCAGGCCCAGAGCTGGACTGAAATGAAAGACCATGGGCAGGGATTGTGGGTGGAGCCTCAGGTAACCTTGTCAGGGCTATTTAAAGCCCTTAATGCCCTCAGAGGCATGACAGATGGCACCAAAAAGCCTTGAAAATGCAGTGCGGGATCTACTCTGTGCTCTTTGGAGGGAAGGAGTGCATGATAAGAGGTTTCTCTTTTTGAGCAGCCAGTCATCTTCATTGCCACTCCTTCATAGCTGGCATGGTGTCCCCCTGCCATGTGATGACTTGCTGCTTTTGGCTTGTGCACCAGTCATCTCCCACATGGCTTGATAATAGAAGCAGCAGATATGGAGCAACGCTTCTCTAGCTAACTTCCAAACTCCCAGTGTCCCAACAGGGAATGTCTCCAGACCTTGCTAACCCCTGACAATAGTGTATGAAGTGGCAGCCAGAACTCTGGCTGCTTGTGGACTTTCAGCTGCTCTGACAGATTGCATTTCAGAGCAAGTACAGAGATGGCTTTCGTCCATCTTTGTGGAGTGAAGTGCATTTTGAGTTTAAGCGGATGTCTCCTGCAAGCATTCCTGGCCCTGCTCCTCCATGTAAAGGATATGCCATGGACAGAAGCGGGAGGCGAAACTTGTGGCTGCAAGGACTCAGGAGCATTTCTCTGTGTTTTCTTTCTTTATCTATGCTTCTCTTTCACGAGAGGTTTCATCCTGATCAGACATGTGTGTTGTCTACTTTCTTCCCCTTTCAATTCGCTGAGAATTGGGTTCACATGTTCACAGGAGGAAGAGAGGAGGAGATTGGAGCTCAGCCCTTGGGGTGGGGGCTCTGCTCTCCACAATGCGTATGACAGAAATGCCCTATCGGGCTTCTGTGCTAGAAGAAAGGCCTGTTTCAGTTCTGTCATCTGGGGGCTTTAGAAACTCTCTGGCAATCCAGATTTGTGCTTCTTTTGGGTGTGAAAAGCTCTAAACTAGGAAGCAGGTTCCAGCCAGTGTATGTATGTCCCATGGTCTGACCAGGCTAGCCACGGTAATCAGTGTCTGGCATTTGTCTTCTGACGTATGCATTGAGGTGTCTGCCCTTGGAAGGTCATGTATCTAGACTCTCAAAAATCTTCAGCCTGGCCCACCAGTTCTCAGCTTTTGTAATAAGTAAAATAATAGTAAAATTCTGACATTATTTGTGCTCCAATATGTGTTTAAGACACAGTCTGAACTTTTCATTCCTATCCAAAGACCTTAAACCCATCACTTTTCTGTGTTTAAAACAAAGCAAAACTCTTCTGCAATCCTGCAAAATCCTGATCAGAATTAAATAGCATAGTAAAATTTGTTGTCAAAGGATGTGAACATGAAACGAAAGTACAAGAAATGTTAGAAGAGCTCACCAGAAGAAATTCATGAGACAAATTCAGCTTTTAATAATGAGTTTCCATCTCCTGGTCTGATTACATATCCATTGGCATGACAAAGCGCAGATTTCAGTTTGCAATAAGAGCCATAAACCAGAAATGAACCATTGCATACTACTGATAAAATACACAGTGCAAAGGCAGCAGGTCCAGCCCTGTTACTCTGCTTATCAAGTGACTTATAGTGTATCTTTGTGTGACACTTGTATGAAATTACCAACTAAAATATTTTCTAAAAGTCAAGAGTTTTGAATCGGGGTGGGGAAGTACTACAACTCGAGACTGACTTTGTGTAATAAACTTCCGTTGAACAGGAGTTATTCAACTCAATGTAGGAAAAAAGCCACACAGCATTTGAAAACAGTCCCAACTGTTTAGTCTTGAATCCATCTGACACTGCTTAATGAAGGATACCTTCCTTTATTTATCACCTGAATATTTTTAATTCTTATATGTTGGTTCTATTTACGGTCTCATATACATTTTAAATTGGTTTGTGCTAATGGCAATGATTCTGAAACGTGAAAGTAGGGCTTTTGTTGTTGTTACACATCTACTTATTTCTTGGTGTGGACCAGGATACTGGGACCAGTTCATAGCATCATTGCCTACAATGTGTCTGTTTTACAGATTTATATAAATAGAATCAAATGTCTGCTATGGCTCAGGACAAGGAGGGGAGCCGTAGAAGGAAGAGACTGTTTGCATGTATACCTGGTCACTAGGCATGCGGGGCTCTGTACACATACATCAACGAATAGTTTAAGTTAACTTGCCCTTGAACACGCTTTGAGGCGATGCGGTGTGAGGAAAAATAGCCTAAAAATATGTTGTTAAGCTCAGTGTATCTGACACTTGCCTGAGGGTACTACTTAAGGTTACAATCTTACGGTTCTCCTCATTACCTTTGAAAGGTGCAATTAGGTGAGATAACTGAACTGAGCCAGCAATTTACCAGCTTTGATTAGATGAAGAATTTATCTTATATATGGCAATAAAGGCAATGAAAACTAGAGGACATTTCTTCTCTAATCTCATTTTTCCTTCATTTCTTCTCTCATTAGTGTGTGTTTGGTATGCTGGCCTTGAAGGCGATGCTGAGGGTCAGAGGAGGAGATAGCAGCTTTCGTGTGTGGAGAAGCAATTTTAGCATTTGCTATAAAGGTTACTTCTTAAAGCAAATCAATCTTCTCCTTTTAAGTAATAACATTCCACTAGTTAATATGCACACCTCCAGTGGCTAGTATGTCTCAACACAGCATCAGCAGTTCAACAAATCAGCTTGGGGTTTCTTCACAAGCAAGAAGCCTTCAGGATATTTCCCACAGACTGTATGCAGGTGACAGTAGGTCAGTGGCTAAGCTGGTAACCCAGCCTAATGAAGTCTTTGCTTAGCTCTGTGTATGCTGTGCCTACAGTCCCAGAGGCTGTTGAGAAATGTAGTTCTCTAAAATTTGGTTTCTATAGCGGGCTTTCTACAGCCTGCTACAAAACTGGAACTCCACTCCTGGCTGTTGATTCTTGGCTTGCTTTGTTTGTTTCTTTGATTGCGTGCCCTCCTCTCTTCCCTCCTAGTGACACAACCCTCCTTTATAATACCCCAATGCATAGTGTGTTCTCTCTATGTGAGCCATTCCAAGCTGTTGTGCTTCATTTGTTATGTTATTTTTAACAGAAAATAATAAGCCATATTTCTATGTGCAGAGAAATAACTTCAGGGTTAAAATAAGGCAAGGCAGTGTTTTAAGTTCGGAAATCCAGTGTGACACTCTGTTCTGCATTTGCAAATTTACAAAACATTTGGATGTTTTTTGTACTGGAATAGTCAACATACTGGATGTGAGGAATTATTTTCTGCACCTGCATGCTCTTCTGTTAAATGAAACAGGAATTTATACACCTAATATTATTTTTTAAAAAACATGGATTTAGTTCTGGATTTAGACTCCTAGTTCCTGGCTTAAGTGCTTAGCTTTCTAGCTTTGACAGTATTTTGAGAACTTATTTACTGACTTCAGGGCCCCATATATATATATGAAATTGAGATAATAGTTCAACAGTTAAAAGTAAGAAGGAATAATTTAAAAGCTGTGATGTAGTCTTATATTACCATGATCCATATAAGGACCACAAATTGTTTCAAGTTCAGGAAAATATTAACAAGATATCTTTTATTCCAGTGAAGACCCAGACATGAAAGATCTTATATAGGAGAAAAGCAAGTAGGCAAGCAGACTATCACAAAAAAAAATCTCAAAACCTAGCAAAAAGATAAACACCCCCAAATTATTAGTAGCTCTTATTTCATATACAGCATATAAACATGGGCAGATCCTTTCTTCACAATCTTGCCGTCAATAAGAAAAAAAACAAGGCAATGTTTTAATTTCAAAGTGATTCCCATATTTCAGTTTGGACTTCCTTTCTCTTAAATAGAGCTTAATGAACATGAATATCTCAAAAGGAGTGAACGTCCATACAACTTTGTAGAAACTGTTCCTGTGTCTTCTACATCCATTCCCTAAGCTGCCAATGATTAGTACAAGTAACAGACTGGTAATTTGCTGGCTGTGAAAGTGTTGCTAAACACCAATAATTTCTTCCCACGTTACTTGCTGCAATTCTCTTACAAAAATGTGCATGTCACATGCAGCTCTAAAGGTAGAGATATAGTTAATCAAATACACTGGAAAGCATGGGCTGGAAAAGATGATAACCTAGTGCTGCTGGGTGTGATGTGTAGGGGAGGCTAAATCACAGGCAGATTTAGATATTGAAAAGACTGCAGGAGGCTGCTGATTTTTTACTTTCACCCATTATGCTCCAATCCAGACAAAATAGTGGAAAATGAGTCTGTGCCCAGGACATTTTCTTTCTAGTGTGACACAACTCTTGCAGAACTGAAACCTATCAGGATGAGGTTTACAGTCTCATCGTTGCCAAAAGTGAACTAATGGTGGTATTTGATCTGCCTTCTTCAGGACTACCCCTGTATGTCTCTATGAGCTAGCACCTCCAGTTTGACTGTAGTGGAGATGGAGCCAAAATATTGATTTGTGAAAGTATGTGATCTTGCAATGTGAATGCACAAACTTCCTAGCTTGACATATCTTCTTTGGATTGTTTCATCCTTATTCAAAAGCAGCCAGCACAAGCAGCATTGGCACAGATTTCGCACAAATCAGCTTCTTGGACAGCCAGTTCTGTTGGAGAGAACAGGGAGGGTTTCAATGATATGGAATGAGAACTTCTTGGAGAGCACAGCCACATACCAAGGGGTTTGGAGACTACATTCCATCACTGCTTTATGAGTTTTAAACTTTCTTGATGTTATTACTGGTATAAGTAAAATTGGTTCTTGCAAATATCTGACTGAGAGAATGAAATCAAACCTGAATTCATTGGGAAACAATGGGAAAATGTGGAGGCAAGAGAACAACAGGACATCTTTGTGGGATGTTGGTGGGCATGTGGCTTGTAGAAGCACAACATTAGTTATATTAGTAGTATACCTTCCTAAAGTGTCCATTGTGTTGTTCAGTAGATAAATGCAACATAATAAAATAAAAAACAAGACATTGTACCACTCAGTTGAAGAATGACTGTGTCTCCGAGACAGATTGTGACAAAGAGTGATTCATGTCCTTTACATCTCACATCTTTTTTAGGATACCTGGAGAAACATCTTTTACACTAATTAGAGAGAGCAATTAGATCTGCTCACAACGTGTAGGTAGCTAGAACTGAGCGATATAACCCTGCTTTATCCCTTAAACCAGAGGTGATCATGGGCTCTCTCACATGTCATCTAAGTTAGTGTGCAGCTACTTGGAGGAAATTTTTTAATGGTTACAGCAACCTGATCTGTACAAGCTACAACTAAGCTCAGCACAGCAGGAATTTTCTTGTAGGGGGGTCACAGCTAATGTAGATGAACTCTTGTAGGAAGGGGTAGTAGAAAGGCAGCACAGACTCTCTCATTTGCTTTAGAATTGACAGAACAGTAATCATGTTTCTTTGCCTGCTGCTATTTGAATATTGAAGGTTGAAATGTGTGATAAAAAAGGCAACTATGCAATACAAGCTACATACTCAGCCTCTCAAAAATCATTGATGCATCTTCTTTTTTGCACACAGATTGGAACTCCTCAGGGAGATCTTTTTCATCACAAGGAGAATAGCTAGCCATTGAAGGCACCATGCGAGGGTTAATGTGTCTGTTCTCATCCATAAGCTCCTTTAGCTTCTTCACGGAGTCAAGGGAGAATTTCAAGTCTCCATCCTATGTAGACAGAAACAGAAAAAAAGGCACCAGGAAGTCAGTCCTTAGGCAAATCCATTCCATTTCAACCATGAGCTCTCCCAAAAACTGTAAGATGGGAAGACAGTTTTGAAACAAAGCCTCGATAAAGTCGGTGCTGGCTGAAAGGCAAAATGATCAGCTCTTCAAGTCAAAGACCTTTCAGAGAAGCAGTGAGACCTGGCTGACTAGTCAGGGTGTTCATTATATATTACCGTGGATGGAGAATTAGTGCATTTCTCACTCCCATGAGAGAGAACCATTAAATCTGGGCTTGAAAGACACAGGCTGGGAATCTGCAGAGACATGACTGTGTAATATGTAACAGAGATTTACAAAATCATGAATAGAATGGGGCAAAAGGGAATTTATTCTGTTCACTCTTTCTTCTAATACACCAGTAGAGAACTTCAAGCATTGGCTGTCACGTGGCAAGCTCTAACCTCAGAAAAGGAGCTGTTGCTTCATGTTAAACATTGTTAAGAGCAGAAATCTCTCACCCCAAGGTACTGTGACATTAATTTAAAACTTGTCCATACAGTCAATTGAACACAAGCTATTGGCAGCATAAATATGACACTTCTGATTCAAAGCTCATACCAAAAGCTTCAGGAGGCCAGGATAGTATTCTGAGAAATATTACTCCATGGTTTAGATTGCTAGGCCCTGTGCATCTGTTAATGGTCATTCCCTCAGTTTCAAGTGATTTCCGCTGTTCAGGTCATAAACTTGCAGAGTACACTACAGATATATTGGGGGAAATACAGATCTAATGATTAATGAGATAAAAATTCAACTACACAGATAAGCTAAAACTACAGAGCTGCACTTTCCACATTTAAAAGTGTAGAATCCAACCTAGGATATGTAGAATATATGTATGTAGAATATATGTGTGTAGAATAAATCCAACCTAGAAAGAGCTATTCTCATTTACCTACTTTTTTATGCCTCCAAGTGGAAAACGGAGGGTTTTTTCATTAAGTAGAAAGGGATCTGTTTCCCTGGTGACTGTAAATGTTAAAAAATGGTTTGGAAAAAAGGAATAGCTTAAACTTGCTATCTCTGGATATATCTGACATACAAAGGAGAAAAAGGTGATATTTCAAGACAGAAAGATAGTACCTTATCCCTGGTAACCTACTGCGCTCATATGAGTCAACAATTTTTTAAAAAATATTAACTCTCTTGGTAGTCTGAGGATGTTACCTACATTGCAGTCAAACTGAAATATCACAATCTATTTCTAAGGATGAGTGTGGACATATCCAACACACTCCCCAGTACAGACAAGAGCTTGGAAGTACCTTCTTAGCTGCTTCTATATTACATGTAATATCAGTCATAGGTGCCGTGTATTTTGGAAAATCTTATATAGCCTCCTCTAATAGCTTATCTGCCCATTAATATTTCATTGTATCCAGTTAAGCAATTGTTTCACTTTTTTTTATATGTGATACGTGTGTAGGCTCCATCACATATCATTTTCATAAAGAATTTCCTGCCCAGAAGCACACAAGACAAGATAATTTCTCTTTTGTCACATCTTGTTTACATTGTTCTGTAAAGTCAGAGTTGTCCCCAGTTCTTGCAGCTCCACATATGTGGTTATGTGCAAAATATAACTGGAAATGCAATGCCTCAGTCAGCAGTGATATGATTGGTGAAGTTAATTAAATGGCAGCAGCATGTTAGTAATACCCAAAGCATTTTAGAGAAAAAAAACCTGAACCACAGGGAAATTAAGTTGGATAGCAAGCCAGCGCAAAGCAAAATTTCAGGTCTATTAGTTTAGTATTAGTTTAGCTCAAGATGCCTGTTGCAGCCACAACACTTCACATAATATCAATACTTTAATACCAACAATTTAAAGAGCAGAAAACTCACCTGAACGTATACTGCTTGGGAGTTGTGCACCACTAAAAGGACTACAAGGACTGTAAAGGAAAAAAAGCCTTTCATAGTGCCTGCAAAGTGTAACCTTTCCTAACCTGAATATATTTTGTTTTCTCTGGCTTTAGTCTTTCCCTGTCTTTTCTGCCTCTCAGACTTCCTCTCTTCTTAGCACTCAGACTGCCTAGCAGTCAAAGTTCTATGCACCCAGAGCAAAGCTGAACCTTATAAAGACTTCACAGAGCATTTACTTGGTAATCCATTAATGTAAACTCTTTATTGGCATATAATAAACCCTCGGTGGACTATCAGTTATCTATGCATTAGCAGAGTAGGCTGGTCACACCCAGAGAGACCCTGGGGTTAATGAGTCTCTCTTGCTTTGAGAAACTGGCCATGATGCAGGCAGGCAAAACATTCCAGACTACAGTAAAGAAATGGTAGATGTTGAACTACACAACATCTGAATTTCAGACTCCATGTGGGGAAAGTATTTCAGGTTTCTAGCCACTTCCTGCAGAGCTGTGAGAAAGAAAGAGATTTGGAAGGAGATGATAGGAAAAAAAATTGGTCTCCTGAACTGATTGCTGGCTAATCAGTTCCCTCTTCTGGGGATTACAGGTACTAATACACGAGCAATGGACCAAAACAGATGAACACAGGCTCTGCTGGAATATGACCAGATATAAAATGTCATCTTGTTGCTTTTTTTTTCAGCAGCAAATTAAAATGCACAGGGATTGTCATTAAGCATAAAGGCTGCCATGAATCAAATATATTTCTCTGTGACTTTCACTTTTATCCAGTGTCCTGGTTTCAGCTGGGATAGAGTTAGTTTTCTTCACAGGAGCTAGTGCAAGACTATGTTTTGGATCTGGGATGAGAAAATATTAATAACGTAGTGATGTTTTGGGTTGTTGCTAAGCAGTCAAGGACTTCTCAGCTTTCCGTGCTCTGGCCAGCTAGCGGGGTGTGTGGGAACCCGGGAGGGGACACAGCCAGAACACCTGACCCAAACTGGCTGAAGAGATATTCCATACCATATGACACCGTGCTCAGTATATAAACTGGAGGAGTTGGCTGAGGGGGCACTGCCGCTCAGGAACTAACTGGGCATCGGTCAGTGGGTGGTGAGCAATTATGCTGTGCATCACTTGTTTTGTATATTCTTTTTTTTTTTTTTTCCCCTGTCCTATTAAACTGTCTTTATCTCAGCCCATGAGTTTTATCCTTTTCCTTTCCTGACTCTCTTCCCCACACCGTTGGGAGGGGGGAAGGTGAGTGAACGGCTGTGTGGTTGTTTTGGCTACCTGCTGGGTTAAACCACAACATCCAGAAACACATCGATAATGTTACACAGATGGAGAAGCATCAACATGCCTCCCTCAGCTCAGTTCTTCCCATCAAGCTCAGGTCCTTTAATCTGTAAATGATTTCTAGCATGTTGTGGCTTTGGAGTAACACTCAAACCATCTTCCTGACAACTGGCAGAACGGAGGAGGGCAACACTAAGCCATTTTCTGAAATGTCAAAAATGTTTTACACTGGCAAAGGCTCTAATTACTTCTTACTGTATTAAAATCCATTGCTAAGATTACAGCGAAAATTACGATGCTGCGTAGAATAAAAATTCCAGAAACTAAAGCAGGAGTTCCCAGGCAGTGGCTTTGTAGGGAGGGAATGGGACTTCTGTGGTATACCCCAAAAATTTCAATAAAGCTGAAGCTACCCCTCAGCTGATAATGCTGACTGCTTACTGATAAACTTTGTTTCTCTCATCTCCAGCAGTCCAGTTTGCTCCTCATCCATCAGCTTGAATCTCTAAAAGCATCTTCATTACCACAAAATGAGCTTGCTTTCTCTGCTGCTATGCTGTCTCTGCTTTCTGCGCTGCCATACCCAACAGCTAACACCATTTGCCACTCCAGGACAACTCACGCCTGTGCCCTTAATTACGCTAATGTTGGTCAAGGGTGTAACAAGCAGAGGGTGTAGCAACAACCTTTTCCTAAAAGCTTTAGAGAGGCATCACAAGAGACAGACACGCCTGGAACGCAACTAGGTGAAGCGAGGGTAAGCAAGCAATTAAATGTAAGGAATAAAAAGGTATATTGAAAGGCATGAAAGAGACGATTCAAACCTTACCTCCCATTACATACTTGGTTCCCAAAACCGCTCAGTCAGGACACCTGTCAGAGCATGGACTACCACTTCTTATCAGTGTCACGCTTGACATACTGATGGTGTATGATAGTAGGAAGTTCCCATGCTTCTGCTGTACTGCTTTTCTGACAGTCAAGAGGTACACATTCTTGCCACCATCTTCTTTTAAAAAAAACCTGCAAAGACAATTATGGCTGGCTTACAGGTTTTTGAATAGTTTATCTAAGAGTTAAGTCAAGCGCTGATACAGGTTTTGGTCCCCTCATTTCTGTCTTGTTTAGACAATATTAAGACAATACCAGTTAAGTTAAACCTCTGAGTGGCACTGTTGTCTGGATTCATCCAGTCCACCTATAAACTTATATAAAAAAACCCAAAAGTTTTTCCAAGCACCTGGGAAAAAAGGACTTCCTGTCAAAAGTCAGACTATGTGCTTCCCCTGGTTGGTATCCTGTATCCTATTGATGGGAATCACTTATGTTTTAGTTGTCAAATGCCTTCTTCTGGAATCTTAAGAGGGTTTCGATATGGTGTCCACCCCAGGCACAGGCAGGGATGATGGGAGCACATATCTAAGCAGATAGGATTTTTAAGAAGAAACTGAGATGCACCTAACACATTGTCACCTCCATGAATGATTTTTTTTAGGTTGTGCCTTTGAATTAAAAGGTTGATAGTAAGCATAAATCTGTAACTAGGCCCCTAAATGCCTTTTGTGCTCAATCTGTAGCCAGAATGATTTTAGCAATGAGAAGGGTGAGAGCTGAAGAGAAAGAGCTACAGGTATATTTCTGATAACAGGTGGATCTTTAAGTGTGTTGAAAAGACAAAACAGTATGTCTACATCTTTTCGTTTTTTACTGGAGACCCGCCCTGACGTGTGGAAAACAGACTCCACAATCTGTAAGATTGTAAAGTAGGTATGTTTATTCAGCGCTGGGCAGCACAGGGAGGTAGTCCCACCAAAAACCGTGCGCACCCCAACGCGGCACTTTTACTTCAAATATATACAGCAAAGTGTTGCATATACATAAAGTTTCACAATATGCCTATACATATGCATGATCTGTCCCCGCTTCGTACTGAAATGAGTTCCAAGATGTTATTTCCATGAACTCCTCCCATCTGCGCTTGTGCATTGTCTCCTAGTGGTGGTCGTCAGGGATCGTGGGGATGAAGGTTGGTGGTTCCTCTTCATCACCACAGGTAACCTTTTGTCCCTGCGCAGACTCGGTTGTTCCTGGGTTCTTACTCAAACCACAGGGTCAGTTTTAGCTAGTTTCTTGAGGCAAGTTCCTAATTCTTATCAGGGACTGTCCTTGTGAGGAGCCACAAATCTTCTTGCTCCTGTTAGTTGATCAGGAACTGTCTTTGTAAGGAACTACAGAGCTCCTGCTTTAGTTACTTTACGCAATAGCTAACAAGATTTCAAACCTTATCCACTAATTAACTGCTAAGATTCCCTTAACCCCTTCTCTCACCCCGCCCCCCGCCTTCCCCAATGGACCCAGCAGTGCAGACATGGCCTCACCAGTGCTGAGCAGAAGGGAGGGATCACCTACCCCAACATGCTGGCCAAGCTCTTCCTTGGCCTTCCCTGTCACAAGAGCTTGTTGACAGCTCATGTTCATCCTGAGACCAACCAAGACCTAGCTGCTGTAAAGATACTGTTCAGCCTTTACTGGTGTATGGGACTGCTCATCGCCAGGAGCAGGACTTTGTATTTCCTTTCATTGAAGAGCACAAGACTTCTAGCAGCCCATCTTTCCAGCCTGGGCACTCCTCAAGGCCCAGACCTGCCGGGGGCTATGCCATGCCCCAGCCTCACACACTGGAGGGGCTTTGCTTTGCTGTCTGGGAGGACAAACACAGGCAGACGCACTCTACACTGCCCTGCCCTGGTGTTAGTTCCCTGTACCTTGGACAAACTGCCCTGCAACCCACTTTGCCTGACTAACCCCCACCATGGTTGGGAACCGCCACCACTACTGCTTACAGTGGCTCCCTTGTCTCAGCCACCCCTGGATCCCCATAGAACAGACTTTGCCCCATCACCCACTCCCCTAGGACCCAGTCCCAGCTTCCCACATGCTTGGGTGGCAGGGGGACACATCAGAGGCACGGACACAGCAGAAACTCCTCATGCCTTGCTCCCAGCCCACCAAGACAAGAGGACAAATGGCTCCTCTCTGGCAGCCATTTCCAGCTCTCCTTCCCTCAGTACTTACTGACCACCTCCCCAGTCCAAGTAGGTGACCCAGAGAAGGCTCCAAGGGTCCCCAGGGTCCAGCAAAGCCACAGCTGGAGCCCCCTTAGCACCTCTTCCAGTTCCATTAGATCCCCGTGGGCCTTTGAGCACTGGAAAGGGGGCAGCTAGCTTGGCAAAGTGGAACACAGCAAGAGACAAACTCCTTGTGGGACTTGTGGAAGCTTCTGGGGGGGCTGTGGGGCAACTGTGTGGCTGTGCGGTCTGCATGAAGTGGGGCTGGGGATGGATTCTCCATTCTAGGCTGAGTGTGAGTAGTTGCTCTGTGGTGACAGCTGTTCTGGGTTGGGGGCTTAGTTCGAAACTACTTTGCAGTGGCGTGGGACAGATTGGGGGGGCAGTCTACAGTGGGGCAGTGTTTGGAGTGGTTTCTGGTCTGTGGGGCCAATCGTCAATGGGGCTGGGGTAAGGGGCAGTTTCAGGTCGAGGTGCAGCTCTGGGAAAAAGGCTGTGGTGATGGCGGGGTTGTGAGGCTGTAGTTTCACAGTGGAGCAGTGGCCACCTCCGCCTCATGCCTGGGGTTGAGCCATGGCTACAAGGATGCAAGGGGACATCAGCCTTTCCATGAAACCAAACCCTGTCATAGCTGCTCCTGTGGATGAGGGCCAGGATACCTCAGCTTCCAGCTCTGTAACTCCCA